AGTGTACTCTTCTTGTGTTTCCAAATATATTATTTTGCTTTGGAATTTTTTTATCATAAGTTCAATATAAGCTCCAGTGAAGTCATAGAAGTGAATTAAAATCTTTAAATGCTAGTTTTCAGGATGCTATAAGTTATAACACACATTGGGTTAGATAACCACATAAATATGTATTTTATTACGTTCTTACATTGTCGATTATCCTGAAGCATTTTAACCAAAACACCATATGAAAAGATCCCAAGAGCCAATGGTTTCATAACCTGGTGGTAAGGGAGGCGGACTAGTGACCAAGAGGTCCCAGGTTCGATCCTCACCGCTATCATGGTGTTCCCGGAGGTACCTTGCATTTGTCTGGACTGCTGGTGGAGGTCCGGGGGTTTGGCCCGACTATGACATCACTGAAGGTGATGACCGTGGAGGGTGTTCCTCGTTATAAAAAACGAGCACAAGAATGACCTAGAATCAATCATCTTTAGTTGCATGTCGCTGTACTTATCGTAGCAAGCTTATTCCCAAAATGTCTTCCTAGAACATTGTCTCAAAATCTGATGGAGGATCATCCAACTCATGCATACCGAAGAGATATACGAGACTGTGTTTCGAGAGTCAGTCTGTGACTCTATTCCTTTCTATGTACGTATGAACTAGTTGAACCGCCCATTCTTAAGCCAGACTGGATCGCACCGGATCAACCTAATGCTTGGAACTTACCACACCAACCGAGTATAACATGTTCCAGTCCTTGGCATAAAGAATTTTATAAATACTGAAGAAAAATAGACCAAATTGACATTTGGACTGGATCAAACCTGACTGAATGCATTGTTGGTCCGGTACTTGGACTGGATTGTTGCACACCCCTAAAGCCAGTCCACCATATTATTACGAAAGAAAGACGACTAGATAGGGTGCTGACACTTTAATGTTAGCACCATACTAAAATAAATCTTTAAATATATTTTGGTAGTTACCGTCTCGATCAAAATATGGGTAAAATTAAATCTCTCCCCATTTTCTTGCAGTGATTAGCCTCTCGCGTCTCAACGCCGTCGGTCGTTGTTGAAACCTTAAATTCTATTGCATTTCCTTTCTTCATCTAGTTCTTATCGACAAAAATCATCGATCCATCGTGACTCATGACCTAAAACCTCAATCTATTGATAAAGCTACTCCTCCATGCAAGTGAAGTTCTCATTTGTTGGATTTCACATATTTTTGGTATGTTTCATTATATTCTGGTGCAAGTTCTCGACTTCCTGATATGGACTAGAAGATTTGTATTGTATTTTATAGTGTTTCTCGTTCACTTCGTGAGGTTTCTGGGGTTTTTTTAATCTTTTTATTCATGAGAGTTGTCATGTGCTTTCACGTGTTTTGTGGTATGCTTTCTACATTTTCTTATCTACTTTATGAGTTTTTGTGGTGTAATTTGTTGTGTTTATGGTGTGATCTTAATTTTATGGCCTACTTAAGAAAATTGTTACGTATATCATTAGGAGATTCATTATTTGCATTATTACGATGATTATTACTACTAGGGGAGTAATTGTAGTAGTTGTGGTAGTCTAGTAGGATTAAGAGGTATATACCAAAAAAACAATGAAAAAGATATAACTGGGAGTGATACAATGAGTGGTTGTATGTGGATTTGGGTGGGTTTAGAACAACCCACTATGTGGTGGATGAAGGACAAAATGATTCATGTCCACCCATGTTGTACCTTATTACCTATGGATGGATTCACAATGTACATTCCAAAATGTCAAATAATTCATATTGTTCTAAATGTAGGATGAAAGAAACCTACAAACCAAATAACGCTTAATCCATAAATAAGATGCATCACTTAGCTTACGATATTACTACTAGTAATTGTTCATAAATCACAAAAAGAAAAATCAATTGATAAACATGATCTTAGTCTAATCATTTTTCCCCGGGTTGAATCAATTACTTTTATTACTCCCAAAAAGGACCATTTGCAAAGTACAAATGGTGAACCAATACAACGAAGGAAAGCTCAAGGTGAGTAGCCCTATAAAAACCACCAAACAAAAAACACCAAATTTCTATCCAACATATCTCCCAAGCAGCTTCTACCAAGACACTAGCTCTACTCCTGTACCAGTCCTACCGCTCGCAGCCCCTCCTCGAGCTTATCATTATTTTTGCTCACAAATTGTAACTCAAGAATGATTTCTCTAGAAAGTTCCTCGACAGACTTGACTACTGTACCATGAACTCGACGACACCGTTCTTTCAAGATCCCAACACAACATGAGTACCAGAGAAGACTGGCCACTCTTCCAGCAATCGGCCTCCTGCAACTAGCTACACCTGCTGCAATTGTAGTTGTCCAAGAGTCACAGCATAAAGCACTCATGTCTACTGTTGCTAACACTTGACTAGCATAGACAAACCATTGATCACTTTACCCCATTTCATCAACTTGTCCTTAGTCACAATGCTATCTACCATAATCATCCAGGCTAAGAAACTGTTTTTAGGAATCTGATACTTACTCCATATAAGGTTCATCCGATCCACCACCTCATACTTAACACGCAAGGTTTCCCATATAGCATAAACCTTAAACACAGGCATAGGACAGCTTCCCCAAAAAACTTGGTTATTTCTCACCAAAGAGATGAGACTGAATCACCGATCATAGCTTAAGGATACGTCGCCAAACCCAGGAACTACTTGGACTAACTTTAACATTCCAAATGCTACTGGTTTGATCTTATATTGTTGAAACCAAGCCACCCAAATAGCTCCACTTTTCATCAAGAATAGCCATATTAACCGGACAGTGCATGCTTTGTTCCAGGCAGCAAGTTCGCGTAATCCTAGGCCCCCCTCCTTGCATGGTCTAGCCATATGCTCCCAACAAACCTTTTGTTGATGTGACTTGAATCGGACTATCAGCCGTTACGACTGGTAGTCGGGGGTCTCAGTCCACAGCCAGGTGATGCTTGTCACAACTGTAAGGAAGTGGGCCATTGGAAGTACAACTGTCCCAGGAGAAGAGGGCAATAGAAGAAACAAGGTTCAGTTGTCGTGGCAGAAGTGGACAACAGTTCTGAAGACGATCTCGCCTTGGCTGTAGATGAAAAGGCACATCGTGGGGATGTGTGGTTTCTGGATACTGCAGCCTCATACCATATGTCTCCGAACAGGGATTGCTTCACAACCTACAAGCAGATAGATGGTGGTAACGTGGTCATGGCAAATGGATTTGTCTGCAAGGTTGTTGGAATCGGGTCCATAAAGGTTCGGGCACATGATGGTTCGTTCTGTACTGTGAATGATGTCAGGCATGTTCCACGAATGACAAAGAACCTGATCTCCTTGAGTCTACTCGACAGCAAGGGTTTCAGCTTCAAAGGAAAAGGTGGAGTTGTGTATGTCTGTAAAGGTTCAAGGAAGGTGCTGAAGGGCGTGAAGCATGGGACCTTGTATGCATTACAAGGGTCTGTGTCGTCTGGTTCTACTGCAGTTGCATCATGTCAGGTTCATCAGTAAGATATGACCACTCTCTGACACATGAGACTGGGGCATATGAGTGAACAGGGGATGCAAGTTCTATCGAAGAGGGATCTTCTTTGCGGGCACAAGGTGCATAATTTGGAATTCTTTGAGCATTGTGTGTTTGGGAAGCTACATCGCAGCAAGTTTCCCAAGAAGGATATCCACCAGACGAAGGGGATACTGGATTACCTCCACTCCGACTGTTGGGGTCCTTCACGAGTTGAATCCATTGGAGGCAGCATGTATTTTCTGTCTATTATTGATGATTATTCGAGATTTACTTGGATTTTCATGATGAAGCAGAAAAGTGAGGTTTTCACGAATTCAAGCAGTGGAAGACATTGGTGGAGAATCAGACCGGGAAGAAGATCAAGAAGCTTTGAACGGACAATGGTTTGGAGTTCTGTAATTTTGAGTTCAACGAATTCTGCAAGGATGAAGGGATTGCCCGTCATCGGAACGTGAGAGATAAACCTCAGCAGAATGGCGTTGCAGAAAGGATGAACTAGACATTGTTGGAGAGAGCACGGTGCATGCTCTCTAATGCTGGACTAGAGAGAAGATTCTAGGCAGAAGCAGTGAACATGGCATGCTTCCTGATCAACCGTGGACCTCACACAAGTATCGAGCTTAAGACTCCTTATGAGGTGTGGTATGGTAAGCCTGCTGATTACTCTTCACTGAAAGTTTTTGGGTGTCCTGTTTATTATCGGCTAAATTACATGTTTGGTCACTCAAATTATATAAATCTTTCACGTTTGCCACCCGAATTACTTTTCTTTCTTACTCGCCACTAACATTATAAATCGTTTCACCGTTGTCACCGGCCGTTACACTCCGTTAAATTTGTCTTACGTGGCAGTCAACTATAAAATTTGACCGTTAACTAGATGACGTGGAAATTCAACAAAAATTATAAAAAAAATATTTTTCCACCTCATCATTCCACTTACTTTGTATATTAATTTGTCATATTAATTATTTGATAAAAATAATATTAGCAATTTATTAAGACTCCTCCATTTAGTCCGTCTTCTCCCCTGCCTTCTCTTCACTCTTCTTAAGCATAACAGAGCACTGCCTCAAGCAAACGAAGCATCAAACGAAAGAGCAAAACAAGATAAATATAATAGAAAAAGGAACACACGAAAGACTAACATAGGAAACCCAGAGCTTACAGTTCCCATTTGTTTCCCTTTCCGACGGTGGAACTCCGGCATAGTCCCACCATCATGGTGGACCACTAATTTAGGCGAAAAGGGGTGATTCAAACACCATAACGAAGAGAAACCAGAGTTGTCTAGGAATGGAGAAAGCAGACGTCTGAGTAGTTCAAGCCAATTCAGTAAGGTTGGAAAGAAGGCAGAGAAAAATTAGGTCGATAACCAACAACATCAGTTAGCTTCTCGACGGGTCGTTGGGTCGAGGAATCGGGAGCACTGATTCTTCGACGCGCTCAATTCAGGATGTTCTCTCGAGCGGGGAAGGTTCGCGTCTTCAATCGTCTCCGAGATGCTCGATTGCTTCTTCGGGTTGGAAAATCCCGACGACTATCAGCTTCTGGCGAACACCGTCGATTCGATCCTCCCAAACAACCACTGTTGGCTCTCTATCCGATTCGTCTCCTTCGTCCATCGACCCACATTTCTCCTGCTCGCCACCCTCACAAGCTTGGTCCACCCTTGAGGAATGAATTTGTGATGTCGCCGCTGCGAAGTTCCGACGAAGCGAAGTTGAAGGAGAGGAAATAGAGTATATCAACCATCACCATGGCCTCTACAGTTTCTTCCTCCCGCTGAGTATTAAATTTTGTAATTTAATTAATTTTTATTAAATAATTAATATAATAAATCGTAAGTTGAATGTTGAGGTGGAAAAATATTTTTTTTAATTTCTGCATCATCTACTTAACGGTCAAACATTATAGTTGACTGCCACGTAGGATAAATTTAACGGAGTATAACGGCCGGTGACTAATGATGAAACGATTTGTAAAGTTAGTGGCGAATAAGAAAGAAAAATAATTCGAGTGGAAAACATGAAATATTTGTATAATTTGAGTGACCAAACGTGTAATTTAGCCGTTTATTATCATGTGGATGAGGGTAAACTGAGCCCAAGGGCAAATAAGGGTGTATTTGTGGGTTACAGAGATGGAGTTAAGGGATTTCGAGTCTGGTCACCTTCTGAGCATCGAGTTATACTCAGTAGAAATGTGATATTTGATGAGAAGTCTATGTTTAACCCCATGTTGAAGGTTACCGTTGTTGAAGGTAGCAGGAATGTTGATAAGCAGGTGGAGCTGCAAACTCTCAATGAGAGTGAGTTTGAGCACCAAGGTGGAGAAGATCAACATGAGGATGTTTCTACAGAGCCAGAAACTTCAAAGTCCAGTGCAGGAGCTCAACAGTCTATAGCTTCTAGTAGACCAAAGAGAGCGACTGCAGGAGTACCTCTAGAGAGGTATGGTTTCGAGGACATGGTGGTGTATTTATTTCAGGTTGTTCAAGAAGTGGATGCAGGTGAGCCACAGTCCTATAGAGAAGTCGTTTCGGGTGGCGAAGCTGATCAGTGGCTTACCGCAATGGGAGATGAGATGGAATCCCATGTCAGGAATCAGACTTGGGAGCTAGTCAAACGACCATAGGGAAGGAAGATTGTTACAAATAAGTGGATCTACAAGAAGAAGGAAGGAATCGCTTCTAAAGAGGGCATGAAATTTAAAGCTCGGGTTGTTGCACGAGGCTTTTCGCAGAGGGAAGAAGTTGACTACAATGAGATTTTCTCACCAGTGGTTAGGCATACTTCGATCAGAGTGCTACTAGCAATAGTGGCACATTATGACTTGGAGCTCGAGCAGCTAGACGTGAAGACAGCTTTCCTACATGGAGAGTTGGAGGAAGAAACTTACATGAATCATCGAGAAGGATTCAAGGTTCCGGGAAAAGAAGATTATGTTTGTAAGCTGAAGAAGTCCTTGTATGGACTTAAGCAGTCTCTGAGGCAATGGTAAAAGAGATTTGACAGTTACATGCTTGAGCTGGGCTACAGCAGAAGTCCATATGATTGTTGTGTGTATCACAATAAGGTGGAGGATGGTTCGATGATCTATCTTGTTCTGTATGTGGATGATATGCTCATAGCTGTGAGGTCGAAGTCTGATATCCAGAAGTTAAAGGGGCTTCTCAGTGCTGAGTTTGAGATGAAGGATTTGGGAGTTGTTCAGAAGATCTTGGGTACGGAGATTTACAGGGACAGGTCGAAGAAGAAGCTTTTCTTGTCACAGAAGAGCTACATCCAGAAGATAATGTCGAAGTTTGGCATGTCTTCAGCAAAGCCCTTAAATACTTCTAGTGCTTCAAATGTTCATCTATCCTTAGCTTATGCACCGCAGTCAGAGGCTGAGAAGGAGTACATGTCGAGAGTCCCATATGCTAGTGCAGTAGGTAGCTTGATGTACGCTATGGTATGCACTAGACCTGATCTTGCACATGCTGTTAGTGTTGTCAGCAGGTTTATGATACAACCTGGGAAGTAGTATTGGGAGGCTGTGAAGAGGATATTCCGGTACCTTAAGGGTACACCTGATGTGGGGATTAGCTTCGGAAGTGATACAGAGTGCTTGGTGTCTGGGTATTCCGACTCAGACTATGCTGGAGATGTTGACACGAAGAGGTCGATGACCGGTTATGTATTCACTCTTGGGAGTTCTGTAGTGAGATGGAAGGCAACTCTGTAGTCGGCGGTGACATTGTCTACTACTGAGGCAGAGTATATGGCGTTGATAGAAGCTTCTAAGGAGGGAATATGGTTGAAGGGACTGGTTGGTGATCTGGGTCTACATCATGATCAGGCAATGGTGTATTGCGAGAGTTTGAGTGCAATATGCTTGGCCAAGGATCAAGTCCACCATGAGAGGACTAAGCACATTGACGTGAGGTATCATTTCTTGAGGACAGAGAAGAGGATTAAGGTGAAGAAGGTTAGCACCTCGGATAATCCTGCTGATATGTTCACTAAGCCGGTTCCATGTGTCAAGTTCCAACACTGCTTGGACTTGCTGAATGTCTTGAGTGGGTGACTCCGCCCTGCGGGGCATTGATGGCGGGAGAGAGAGAGAGAGGGAGCAGAGTACATCAGAGAGTTCAGAGGAAGAGGATTCAAGTCAAGGTGAAGATTTTTTGATGTGACTTGAATCGGACTATCAGCCGCTACGACTGGTAGTCGGGGGTCCCACGGTGTATGGGCTCAATGTTATTTGGGTTCGAGTTCTGGGCCTGGTCTGTAACCGTTTCCTTTGCCAGATTGGATTAGGTTTAGACCCACATGGAGAAGTACTATAAATACTTCTCATACTCCTCTATAATCTGTAATCTCCTCGATATAGTCAAAACTGGCTCTCTCTCGCGCGTGAACTAGCTAACACACATCGTGTTAGTGAACCACGTAAATCGTGTGTCTATATTTTTCTATTCTCGCTTTCGTATTCTTGCTTTATCGATTCTGGCAATTTCCCAATCCGTAGCAGCGCGTTTATAACACCTTTGCTCGTCCTTCTTCACCCCCATGCCAGAGGAATTGAGAGCATACTAGCTGAACTTGCTTGAGTGCGCGTTTAGGGAGAATGAAAACATGCATACAATATTGAAGAATTCCCATCAATACAGAAGATACAAGCTGCAATCGGCCTGCATAGCTAAGCTTTTTTGATGGCTAGGAATGTATCTTCTTCGTGATGGCATCCACCAACTTAACAGTTTCACTAGATGGCAAGTTACCAAAGATGAGTGGTAATCCTAAATATCTTACTAGTAAAGAACCTTATGCAAACCCTGAAAGGAGCAAGGCGTTCTGCTTGAATTGCATAGAAGCACCCCCAAAGTACACCTCGCATTTCCCCAGATTGCATTTAAGCCCAGAAATGGTATCGAATTCCTGTAAAACAACTTGAACTCTCTGAATAGCTTGGCCAGACCCCTCCGTGAAGATGAGGAGGTCATCTGCAAAGCACAGATGAGTTAACCCCACTCTCTTGCACTAAGGATGGAAAGGCAAACCCCCTGTAGCAGCAGCTCGATTCAAAAGAAATGATAACCCTTCCATGGAAATTGTGAATAAGTATGGTGAGAGGGGATCCCCCTACCTCACCCCTCTTTAAGCATAAAAAAAACCAGACAAACCACCATTTATAATGATACTAAACTTTGCAGTTTTGACACACAGTATTATCCCGTAAATAAACCTCTGAGGAAACCCCATAACCTTCATCATAAGAAACAGATACCCCCAATGAACTTAGTCAAATGCTTTCATAAGGTCAACCTTTATAGAACAACGAGAAGAGAGATTTTATCTATGATAGCCACTAACTAGTTCTTGGGCCATGAGGATATTGTCAACAATGTACCTCCCTTTAATAAAAGCAGACTGATTTTCACTAACCACACTAGATAAAACCTTCTTTAACCTATCTGCTATCAGCTTGGCTATAATTTTGTATAATATATTCACAAAAGAAATCGGCCTAAATTCTTTCAACTTGCAAGTAGAGGAGACCTTTGGAACCAAAGAAACAACAGTAGAATTGATACTACTAGGCAGCTTACCTGAGGTAAAGAAATCTAGCACACCAGCAGTCACATCTTCCTCAATAATCCCCCATGCACGTTTATAGAACCCAACAGAGAATCCGTCAGGACCAGGTGCACGATTGGAACTCATATTAAACACAATCTTCCTCACATCTTCAGTTGTAAAATTTTGACACAAAGAAACCCCCTGTTCAACACTGAGCTTTAGTTGTACAAGATTCTTCTGGTACTGTTTGCAGGGATGCACCTCTAGATCAATGAAACCAAACAACTCCTTATAAAAATCAACAACCTCGTCTGCAATTTTATCCATCTCCACTACCTCCTCTCCACTTTCAAGTACCAGATTCTGAATGGATTTTCGAGCAGTCTTTATTTTGACAGATTGATGGAAAAACCTGGTTCCTTAATCACCAAGCTTCAAGTAGCCTACACAAGATTTCTGCCAATAAAAACCTTACTCTGCCCTTCTTATATCCTCAAGTTGCATGTGTAACTCTGTAACCTCAGCAAAAGAAGTACTAGAAGGATTGGACAGTGCCAACCCTTGAGCTATGAGCAATCTGTTTTCCACCTCTTTCACCTGACCACTGATATCGTTATAAGCTTCCTCAACACAAAAATGAATATAATAAATCTAACTAATTGTCCTAGTCTTGAGTCACAATCACTCAACAAACCCCCTTGAAATGAACAATAACAGATAAGCCAAATTAGTATACGAACAAGAAAAAAAAATATGGAACGTTAAAGAAAGTGAACATATAATGATATGGAATGTTAAAGTCGGTTCCTTCGACTTTGTAGGGTGGCTTCACTATTGTATTGGTTTGGGAGGGTTTTGGGGTAGATTGTATAGTTTTTTCTCTCTTGACATTTCTTGAAAAAATAAATAAAGAAAGAAAGAAAGTGAACATATGATATAGATTTCTAAAAAAAAAGAATTTTTATAATTATCCTCAATAACCATAACTTTGAAAAAAAATATTCATTCAAAATTTAGAAGAAATAAAAACTAAATATTTGGAAGAACTTTTGATCGAAATTGAGAATTTTATTTTTTTGTGATTTTAAGGTTGTAGTCTAGGTTAAGTATCAGTTAGAAATTCGATGATTTGAAGTTAAAAAATTAGTTGGATCAGTGTTAACTACAATCCACTCACATCATTTAATTTTTAATGATTCATCTATTTTACAATTCATACCCACGTATGTGAACCACCCACAACATAATGAGTGCATCAGGAGAATTTGGATGAATATATTTGCTCAACCATCATCCTAGACAGTACGTCTCATTAACCGGAGATGTTAGAGTCCTAATTTCATAGGAGTTAGCATCGTGATAACTACTCTAAATCGTTGAATTTGACGGTGGTTAGTAATGAAGGGTTTGTTCGGACAAAATCAAAAATAAATTAAAAAATCTATCTCCTCTGTTTATTAGTCATTTTTTGTTGATAAATATGAATGTGGGGTTGATAGTAGTGTTTTTGTGAATTTAATTGTTATCCGTAGTGATTTAGAAATTTTCTAGTAGCGATTTAATTGTTATAAGTAGTGATTTATAAATTTTCTAGTAGCAATTTAATTGTCACTAGTAGTGATTTATGATATTTCTTGTGTACCGATTTATATTACATGTGTAGTGATTGAAATAGGTAATTACCCAAGAATCACTGCTACACCATAAAATACTCAATCAAATATGTAAAATTGCTACTATTATAAATCATTTTTATTCAGAATAATTACCACAAATCTGAAAACACTTCTAAAAATATGGAAAATTACTACTACATATCTGGAACAACTCCCATTGTCATCGTACATCTAATTGTAAAATATGGAGAGGAGATGGATGCGGCGCCATGACGGTTGCGTTGTCACCGCTGGAAGAGCTCCGCCAACGTTGTAGAGATCTGCCAATTTTGACAGCTGGCAGAGATGAGCCAACATGATGCCGACGTTGTTGGGACAGATTTGGTAATTGACATCGATACGCGCATGACGACGGCGAGGGAGTATGGCATTGAAGGTAACGTTCCTGAGTAGTTAGGACGGCTACCGTCGGTAATCGGCCAGTGAAGAGGCGGAAGGGGCAACACGACAAAAGCAAGTCCGACGAGAGTGATGACGAGGCTGGCACGGGCGATGGCGTCACAGCGGAGATGGAAGAGGCAGGGGATCAGACGATTTTTGGTGGAGAGAAGAAGATAGTTACTGACGAAGAAGAAGGGGAAAAGACGTGGGCGGCCGAGAGAGAAGTGAGGTAGAAACCTGTATTTATATTAAGATTAAAGAATATATTGACTAAACTGCCCTCTATTTAATTCTGATCATAAGATTAATTTTTTAATCTAACAATAATTATCTTAGTTAGTACGATACTTAAGAGTTAGCAGGGACGGGATACGGTGACAATCCCCTTGGGGGTTGTCAGATTCATAACCAAGGGTATTTTGGGTATGAAAAAAAGGAATATATTAATTACCTTTTTTGTATTAATTATATTGGGAATTAAAAACCCATATTAAATACATTTTTTTTTTGAAATTTAAATCCTATACATTAATATCTCTATCTATCTCTCTCTCTTCCTTTCTCCAGCAGCCACTCCGCATCGACCGACAAACTTTTTCTCCGGCGAATTCTCTCCGGCAGACTTCCTCCGGCAACCTGAAAAAATGTACCAATGCGTTAAAAAGTGTACCAATCTATTAGTCTACTGGTAATTAATATACCAGTGCTAGTGGTATGCTACCAGTACGTTAAAAAATGTACCAGTACTAGCGGTACCAGTAAAAAATGTACCAGTACTAGTGGTACGCTACCAGTAGAGAATAACACAACGCTACTAGCACTGGTAGCGCTACCACTAGCATTGGTAGCGGTACCAGTAGCGAATAACACACAAAGAAAAACAAACAGATGATAGTGGTACCAGATGATAGGGGAGCCACTGGTATTGGTACCAGTGAGTAGTGGTGGCGTACCAATAGCGCTACCAGTGGTATTGGTACCAATAGTGCTACCAGTGGTATTGGTACCGGTAGAGACTATCAGATCTGGAAAAAAAATAGGGATGAGGAAAGAGGGAGGCAGGGAAGAGTCTTGACCTCGCGAAATTCGATGAAGAAAAGAATCACAGTAGCTCAAAGAAATCATAAATCAAATTCCCAAGGCAAAAAAAAGGAACTTTTACAAACAGAAAGAGCAGAAGAAGCTTACAGCGTCACGGAGCTCGGTTCCCAGCTGCTGAATCACAAGAGCAAAGCTACGAGACACCTTGTGCAGCATTGTGTAACAGAATCCCCAGTGAGGTTGCGGTGGGATCTGCTTCTCGATGCTCCTCGCCGCCAATTTAAGCTTCAAAAGCGGGTAAAGATTATTTGGGTGCTTCAAAATCGCTCTCAAAGACACGGCAACGGGCTCACAGATTTCCATTGAAAAAGCTTCGCTGGTGGGTGGGGAGAGGCGGCAGCGGTGGTGGAGGCCGGCGGCAGTGCTGTCTGGAGAGAGGGAGGAGGGAAAGAGAGAGATGAGGGGGAGAGGGAGGAGTTAGGGTTTTTATTTTATTTATATGGGAGGGAGAATGATTGGGTGTGTTAACATTTTTCCTTTTCAAAAATACCCTTCTTTTAATCCTAACCATCAACTTGAAAAAAGAAGAAAGAGACAGGAGAGAGTGTGTATCCAACGATTAGTGAGTGGATTGTGAATCCGACAACTCCTAAGAAGGTTGTCACCGTATCTCATCCCTCACTAAACTCATCCCTCGTTAGCTGATAAAAGATTATACATGTGAGTAAAAGTGTAAAACTGACCGGATCTGCCCCTTGTGTAGCGGACTAGCGGGCTACTATAGTCGTCTCTGAACTCTGAAGTCTGACCAACAAATAACTTGCCTTAAAGTGATTTACTTCGCAACTATGCGTGCTCGCTGCTTTAGTTCCTGTCCCTTCATCTTCGATTCAAGTCAATCGTTGATCCGCTTCCGTTCATCTTTCCGCCTTTCTCCCCCCTCTCCATATCTCTCGCTCTCCTCCTCCGCATCCTTGTACCACCGCGCCAGTAGCTCGCCCGGTGGACTGTCCCTTCCAACCGGTCCGGCTACCCTAAATCTCCGCGAACCAAGTCGCCGGCCAATCGGAACTCACGGCCCCGTTCGAAAGCTGCTGCAAACTAGTACCAGAGCATTACATTTCGATGCTTTTCAGGTGCCCCCATTTCTTTCCTCTTCTAGTTGTATTGTAAGATGTGGTTTACTTGTGTCAAATACAACAGCACTTCAGAAAGTGGAGACGAAATAATGATTGTTGCTTTGCGGTCAATGGTTGTGAAGACTTGTGGAAGTAATTATGCTGTCGATTTTCTATTGTTCGTGAAGAATTACTGTGATCTTGTTGATTGGGTTGCTGACATCGGCGGCGTATCAGGCCTTCCGCCCTCCGCCTCCCAAGATTTGCGGAACTCCAGGCGGCCCTCCGGTGACGGCGCCACGGATAAAGCTAAGGGATGGACGGCATTTGGCCTACAAGGAGCATGGGCTTCACAAAGACGTTGCCAAGCATAAGATTGTATTTGTTCATGGCTTTACTTCCTGTAGGCTTGATCCAATGATTGTCACCAACCTTACTCCGGTAATTTTTTGCTTCTTACCCACAACGATCTGCGTTGAGATTGAATTGATTTGAGGCTTAATATGATTGTTTCACCCGCAATGCCCTGTTATCAGGAAGTGATTGAAGAGTTGGGGGTTTATGTTGTGACATTTGACCGGCCCGGTTATGGAGAAAGTGACCCGGATCCGAATCGAACACCGAAGAGTTTGGCTCTTGACATAGAGGAGCTTGCTGATGGTTTAGGGCTGGGTTCAAGATTCTATCTGATGGGTAAATCTATGGGAGGCCAGGTTGTTTGGGGATGCCTTAAGTACATTCCTCAGAGGTGAGAACAAACTGTAGTTTCCAATTGAATACTCCATGGACGTTTTATTAACTTGTTTTGAAGAATTTTTTAGTGGAAGAAATCATAGCCTGCCATGTTATCTACTTTGTATGTCTCCTGAAGCTGTCATTATTTTGGAATTCTTGTAGGTTAGCTGGAGCGGCTTTGATAGCTCCAGTTATCAATTACTGGTGGCCTGGTTTCCCTGCTGAACTATGCAAAGAAGCCTACAACTTACAGCTACCACAAGATCAATGGGCATTACGTGTTGCTCACCATGCTCCTTGGCTGACCTACTGGTGGAACACTCAGAAACTGTTTCCTTCATCAGGCGTCATCTCCAGAAAGCGTGAAACTATGTCTCGTCAGGATATAGAACTTGTATCGAAGTATGGCGGTGGGCATGATCTGAAGGTACGCAGTATTTGTAGTCCCCTCCACGTTTGTGCGAAGCAACCACATTAAACTTGTGTATCTACTTCTTTTGTCTTTCATTTTCAGTTGATGATGTCTGTGTTCTTTACCTCATTGAGTTTACTCAACTGCATGAAATGGAAGTTAAAAGTAGTCAGAAATTTGAATTTTTGTCTGTTGCTGTTGGTGCATTAGACTATGCATTCTTTCCAAACTGAAGTGGGCAAGTGACTTCTTTGCTTCATGGAACACCATAATGTTTTCTCACCTACGAGCAGATGGGAAATGTACTCTGGCTAAACACAAAAGCGAGATGACATGAATTTGTTTTGTGATAAACTTGTGATTATGGATGGCTTCTCGTCTTGCATTTGTGCAGAAAGAGGCAACACAACAAGGAGAATTCGAATCTCTGCATCGAGACATGATGATTGGATTTGGGAAATGGGAGTTTGATCCCATGGATCTCGAGAATCCTTTCCCCAACAATGAAGGTTCGGTCTACTTATGGCAAGGTGATGATGATAAGAAGGTTCCCGTGATACTACAGCGGTATATTGCCCAGAAGCTTCCATGGATCCACTACCATGAGTTACCAGGAGGAGGCCATGTTCTGCATTTTGTTCCAGGGTTGATCGAAGGAGTTCTTAGGGCTCTGCTTCGTGGCGGGAAGTAGTAAGCTTTACTCCATTTCTTCTCAGGACGTCGAAGAATTATCCTTCACCACTCTGTAAAGGCTTGATTCACTATGCCGATTTGCAAGACCCAATTCGGATGAGAGTATCAACATCTGTTTTGCTGAGAAGGATCACTGAGTTGGTATTGTCTCGTTTCATGCGGATTAAGGTCGATGTACAAGCAGAACCGGCAGAGATCACTTGTTGGAATAATCTCTAGTTCTTGTGTTTGATAGTTTGATGCAAGATTGTTCAGAAACGGTGAAATTCAAAATAGCTAAATTATGACGAAAGATGGGAATCTAAATTGTTGTTGTGTAGTGTCAAAATAGTCGAGGGGAATTTACTTTGTAGTTATTAATACACTGACATTTCTGGTTCATTAATTAGTAAATAACATTAAAAAAAAAATGTAAGCTATAAACGCACAATGAGAACCAGTGAACCAGGTAACCAGAGAAACAGGTTGCCGGGAAATGTTGAATCGGCGAGAAGGCATCGACTCGAGCAAGCACTGGAAAACTATAAAATTAAGTCCGTGTTCGAAGATGGCCGATCATCGGTAACATAAATTTGAATAAAAATTTATTTATTATTAACTAAATTTTATCATCTCATCAATATGCAATACACAAATGTTCTCTAACATAAATTGTCCTTTTACATAACAGTGTAGTCATGAGACGTTGTAAAGTTTATGGAGGGATATTTATTTGTAGGTAAAATACACTTATATAGCCAAAATTTTGACGTATTTGTCAATAATAGTCATTTTTGAAGAAATACCAAATATAGCCAATTCCGTCCAATTCTTTAACGGTGTTATCTAACGTGTTCACTGGACTGATGTGGCAATTTTTTTGTGAAAAATCATGATAGGTGAAAATGATTATTTTATTATTATAAATAAATTATAAAAATAAAAATAAAATTCCTTTACCCCTTTTACTCTCTCTTCTCTCGACTTTTCCTTGTCCTTCAACCTTGCCACTCCGTTTTTTTTTTAATGAATAACCATGTCCCTCCGTTTCCCTTGTCTCGCTCCTGATAAAGAAATCGGCGGCCGCTAGGGAGGATTTTAGATCGCGATTCCGATCAACCAATTGAAGGCCCAACTGGGGGTTGATCGAAGTCGCAACAGTAAAATAGAGAAGAAGAAGTAGAAGGCGTCGCCACCGCCACCGCTGCTCCCAAACTGACGAACCTGAAACAACAGTCCTTCACCCAGACAGCTGAGTGCCATCTTCGCCCAGATCGGAAACCACTTAACCCGAAACTTCTTGTAGTCCTCGTTCATGGTGGGTAGTTCTTCGCCATTATCGGCGACAGATTCTGGAGAAAAAAACAATCTTCCATGCAACGGCGGAAGAATAAACACAATGACGAGTTGATATGCAAGGGTCAAGTTCCCATCCCTCCCTACCCAAGAGAATCGAGTTTTGGTAGCGGAATCGGGTTTCTGTTATGCGAAATCGAGCTTCTTCTCGATTAGTTTCTGTTAGGGCCGTCAAAGATCGAGTTTCGGCGGTGGCGGGTGGTCGGAGAAGACGTTGCGAAGGTGACGGGTTAGGGAGTCGAGTTTTGGCGGCATGGAATCGGAGAGGAAGATGGTTCTTGACTTGAGATTCTTAGTTCTTGTCTCTGTTTGTGATTTGCCAATTGAGGATGGATAGAAAGGGTTCCCTTTCCCTGGCGAGAGGAAGAAGATGAAAGGGGATCACGTTTTTTTTTTTTTTTCAATTCAATTTTGTTATTAAGAAAAATAAAAATTATTCATTTGAATTTTTAATTGAAATAATACGTGGCACCTATGTGTCACCAACGGCTGAGTTGTCGTTGATTTGTACGATGATTTGGCATCTTAGTCAGCCTAGCGTTGACCTAATTGACGGAATTTGTAACACTGTTAAAGTTTATAGCGAAAATGGCTATATTTGTCATGAAATTTTCAAAATTCTGACTATATTTGGTATTTCTCTAAAAGTGGCTATTATTGTCACAAAAGTCAAAGTTTTGGCTACACAGATGAATTTTACCTTATTTTTATTATATCACTTTAAAAAATGTGTGGTATGAATTTCGTAATAATTAAGACATATATTTAGTTTCTTATCTCTGTGAAGCGCCCTCAGAAAAACTAGTAAAATTTATTGTGTAACATACCCATATTGTTTTTAAGGATGGAGGATAGTTCTCCAAAATTATTTAACCGCATGAAAGAATTAAACCATTGTTTCAACATAAAATAATCTATTATTGACTTTTTCGGTATAATATCTAAGATGATCAATCCTTACTATTCTCCATCTTTCTTCTCGGTCTGGCCATCCCCTTTTCGGTGGAATCCTCGTTTCCTATTCTTCTCCGTCTTCGAGCCACTCTCTCCTTGTCAAAGAAAATTTAATATTCTCGTTTACACTCCTTCCTCTTCTTCGAACCAAACACCGAAGCACCCACTTGCGGATAATCTTCTTCCCTCTTCTTCTTTTATTACATCTGTGAGACTATGCAAACATGACACTTTTTTTTTTTTGTTTCTACTTAACAATTTTCATTTCTCAAAATTATGAACTAAACAGACTTTATATTATATTTTGTACCTGTCCGACAAAAAACAATTATTGCTCAATAACTTCATGGAATAATTAAACTACAAATAAGAAAACACTACCACCCTAAAACTAACTCCCTGCAACTACAAATAGGGATCACAATGAAACCCGAACTCACGGTTGCGGATGGTAATCCACCATTGTCCAAAGGCCAAGTATTCATCAGTTGGTTGACAGCGGAGATCAGGCGTAAGCACAACTCTGAGTTCGGAGGCATTCCCCTCGCGGAGGAAAGTTCGGAGCGTGATAAAGACATTTATGCACGTATCTACATCCTCGGCATGATCGGAGGATTTTTCTTCCCCTAAGAAATCCAACAATTTAATCAACAATTCATGATTGAAAATCATACTTGGAGATTGCGATGATATGAGAAACCTGAGCTGGGCATCTGCTTGCCTAGCTCATCTCTACTGCTCCCTCTGTAATGCTAGTGCGAGAGCGGTGAAGGAGATTGATGGGGCCATGTTCATCGTCCAATTTTGGGCCATGTTCATCAATCTGGGAAGGAATGCATATGATTCTTCCCAGTCATCAAACATGGCGGCCAGTGCTTTCTGTTTCACATGCCACGCCTTCTTGTAGTTAATGATATAACCATAACGACTAGAAATGTCGGTGATGATGGTTTTCACCTTCAGCCCCCACCCCTGCAACCTCCTGCGTGCCGACATGTCGGATGTCGGGTAACCAGGCACAAACCGCTGGTGAGGGCAGCGGTTTACGTGGCACAAACCCCCGGTGGGGGCAGCGGTTTATGTGTCGACATGGTAAACTGCTTCTCTGTGGAGCATTTTACCATGCCGACATATAACCGCTCCCTGAGGAAGCGTTTTGGCGTAGGGAAGCCATAAAAACCGCGCTTTCGAAGAGTGATTTTACCTGAAAAAGAAAACCGCATGTTGACCAGGCGGTTCTAAGGTAAACCGCGGCCTGGTGGTGCGATTTATATATTAACCGCCCCTTAGAGGCGCGGTTTTTAATAAATGGTGGTATTTTTGGAAATTCTTGGAAATGGGTGGTATTTTTGTAATTTTTTTAAACAGTGGTGGTTTTGGATTTTTTCCCAAATCGGGTCGCCAAGATTCGAACACATGATCTCTCAGTCAACCATTCTCAATTCGAGATATTGAACAAATACCATTCTCAATTAACTGTTATAATTTAATCATTTTTGTCCTTAGGAGCCGCCCGTTGATCGTTACACTCTCCCTAACCCTGGTTGAAGTAAAATTATTTTTATAAATTAGCTATGATTTGGTGAAAAATTTGTTCGAGATATTGAACAAATACATTTTTAATTTTGGTTGGATCATATGCACCATTGTCATTTGTAAATAACTCGTTATAAAATTATTGAATATGTCAATATACAACTTATAAATCATACAACAAATATTAGAATTGTCAACTATTTTCATTTAAAGACGTGTTATTTTTCATATCCGATTAACCATGATACCTAATTTACCATTTTTCCTCCCGAGCCAGGGTAGATTTCGGGACCAACCCTCTAACCTTCTTCCTCCGCTCCTGAATACTACTAACTTTGTACCTAAAAAATCTACAAATCTCAAGTTTAATTTTCTTTAGTACCTAAACAAAAAAAAGTAATCATATATCATCTTTATAAAAAACATTCCAAACCAAGTTATGAGGTTTATTATTACATTGTTTTTTGGTTGAAAGTTTGTTATTACGTGATTGACCTTCTCAACTAACATACACTTTATTAAGTGTTTGTTACCTATAATAAATTAATATATGACCAACCGAAATTGGAAAAGGTTAAAATATTGGTGATAGTATGAATTCAGTCCAATTCAATATAATTACTAAAATATCTAAATAATTTAATATATTGAAATTTAAATTAATCTATATTCACTGGATCGTAAGATTCATTATAATAGTGATTAGTGAGTTGCTGTACAATTATAAATTTGTACCTAATACTAACTTTTTATTCTACACTTTAAATGAAGTATTTGTTGATAGAGAAAACAAAGTCAATAACCACATATTCCTATAGACCAAAGCTCTTTGCTTATGTTGATTTCACTTCTTTGACATATGTGTCAAATATTTCATTGTTCTATCAACCAATCGTGTAGAGAAAATTAACGTTATTTATGACCTTGATATAATGAAAAAATTATAACATGCATGCCAACATATAATGAACATTACACCTCATATCAACCAGTAGTAGCAGTTCAAAAATATTCTGTATATTTTACTTTTAGAATTCGATGGTCAGTGTGTGTGGTGCAATTAAAAAAATATGTTGACAATTCAATATTATAAACAAGAAACAACTCTTTGTCATGTGAAAGTGAGGTGTGAGTCATTTAGGCGAGCCACAAACCACCCAACCACCCGAATAAGTGCGGATAGAAAATTGTCAATCCGCGATCCACTTGTATCAATCACCCACCCACAACAATTTGGGTTATATCCGGATGGATCTATATCAATTCGCAGATCAACCAATCGCGTGCCTACTCTACCAATAGTTAAATGTTAATTGAACCAACGAATCCAATCCATAAATTTATTGAATCCAATTTTAGAGTCAAGGAATTCATAAATTCAATTGATTTCTCTTCTCTACTAAAAACTCCGCCTTTGGGACTTACTTTTCAGTGTGTCTTTGACTTAGCAGTTTACGTAACGTGATATAATATTAATTACTTAAAAAGACCTTCAATTACCTAAAGGTTACGAACAACAATTATTACTTAAAGTAACCGTTTAACCAGCAGGCAGCAACGTTACAGAAGACTTTCTTAATGATTTTACACTTTACGTAATGCAGTGTTAGTATTCATTACGTAATGCAATGCTAGTACTCAGTATGTAAGATAACCGTCAATTACATAAGGTTTCTATAATAACATTTTACAACTGTTACTTAAAATTATCGAACTCTACGTAATCATTACGTAATGCCTATTGTATTTTAGCTAATTCAATTTGTGAAACTTGTTACAGTAGATAAAGGAATTCAAATTAGTTTAATGTAGGGAATCCCAATCTATCTGCGTATAACAATTTTTACACAGAAAAGCAAAGTATTATGCTTACCGGCCCAAAATTGGAAAATAAAAAGAGGGAAACACTCTTTCATAAAAAATAATAATAATAAAAAGACTCTTCCCATTTCCCCTGTTTCTCAAAGCATAAACGGCATGTTTCTTAGCTGCTGTTGGTGGGGCCCCGCTTTATCGTCGGCTTGCGGATCAGCAATTTGTTGATTTACGATGCTAATTGTACAATAGTTAGCACCGTCCTAACCAAGGGAAAAACTACTACTAGTTTGAATTAGTAGTGATTTAGCTTAGATGTTGCTAGTTATCACGATGCTAGCCCCTATAAGGGTTAGCACCTAATCCCATCCCAGCAAGGCCACTATGCATGATTTATTTTGCGTTTGGTTACCGAACACTTTGTGACTTCATTATCCTAAATTCCTAATGACTACAATAAGAACTAGCTTGGTACCCGGCCCGTTGGCCGGATGCATTTGATCAACAGTATTAATATTAGTATAGTTAATTAAAAAAATATATAATATAGAGTTTGCATACACTCTAATCGGTTTATCAAATGACAATTCGATTTATTCCACTCTATCCATTTTCCAAACAACATTTGTAGAAATAAAAAATTTAAAATTTTCTTGACCAATAATTCTTATCTTCTTTGGCACATTTATCAATATTCATTTTGCAATGGTTTTCAAGACATGAATATTCAAATTACATGTGTTGAGCATTTGTATATTTAATACACACATTGTTTTCTGAAATTAAAAACACCAAAAACATATTGAATTGGATCTTATTATCTTAAAGAACTTTAAAAGTCCCATGAGAATAAAATGAGAATAAAATTTTCAATATTATCGTTATCAACAACAACAAAACAAAAGACAAAAAGTAGGACAAACAACATTGTAACAACGGTTCTTACAAAAACCTGATAACCAAATTCCTTATTCTAACTCTCAATGATGGCCAGTGAAAAATACTAAGCCAAAACGATTTGATTTCCTTGTTACTTTCTAAGAAACCATATCCCCTTTTGAATTTGATGAATAGAGTAAGGCAATATTTCATACATGCATCCTCGTTTTGTATCCAAGTTTATTAACCTTGACTTAAACATCATAATCTATTAACAAAGCTTTATCATTCATTCACCTATACTCTTGAGTCTTGAGTGAAAATTTCCCAATCAAGGTACTGCACCATATGGGTAATAGATTTTAGTTTAGAGACCTCTTGGGGAAGGTTCTCGGCCTAAGTTGATCTTTCTTATCATTCTAAGTGACCATTAGTAAAACAATTCTTAGCTAATGGTTATTCATTAAATATAAGATAATTCTTAGAGAAAAATATCAATTTTACTCAATACGTTGTATCACTAACATAGAGTTCCCTTACTAAATTTTATGATTTAACTAAGGATTTTCCAATCATTTAAATAACACCATAGTCTTATCATGCCTTTGCACTTAGTTTTTACCATAGATTGTTAATTTAGGTTTCCCAACCAAGAGAAACAATCTTCTAATTTTAAATTTTCTTAATAAGGATATGGGGTTTCAGCATATTTAACTGAATATATTTCTGAAGGACTATATAATTTATCTTCCGCATTAAGTAAAACTGATAAATGAGCATGAGGTAGATCATGCTTTTGAAATTCAATGACCATTACATCTGCCGTGAAAAAATTATCATCATTATTAAAATTGTAAAATAATAGTTTGCATAAAAATAATGAACCATCTATGCTTAAAAGTAGAACTATAAAATATAACTTACATGCACATGTTTTCCCAAAAATTTCTTCTCCAAAAGCTTCAGTTTGAAAGCTCGTGTGAAGACATGTATATGTAATAAAAAGATGTGGATATCCTGCCATCTATAAATTGTCATAGCATCCGGGAAACTTTCATACTTATACAGGGACTACATGCATTTGATGAAGCTAAAATCACATGTTTTTCACTTAATCTAATATTCAAACCGCCTCTCAAGTAAGAATCCAAAAGACATTGGTAGTAATGTTGTCGCAACTTTTTTATTGTTTTTAATTCAATCCAAACGCTCAGCCTCAACCAGTGCATATGCATTAACAACATATTGTTGGAACAACTTTCCACACAATAGCAATGTGTTTGATTATTCCAGTCTTGTTTGGAGTATATAATTGTAATAATCACAATGGGTCACAATCTTCTCATTATATCCATTTGCATCCTCATTGCTATAATATGAAACATTGGGTCACTTTTTGATATTCTTCTCGTTTAGAAGAAACATAATTTCAACTTGCTGAAAAATGGTATTGACACGCCAAAACACAACACCAAACTACGACCAAGTATAATCGCAGTCCGGGAATGCAGTAAAATAACAAGTTATATTATCAACCCGGGGTCTAGATCTACTACTTACTCAGTGATTCTCTATTATCTAGCCAACTAAGTTAAGTGTTTGTTGTGTAAAAGCAAAAACAGAAAGAAAGCAGGAATTGATACGGTTTTCTCAAGCAGGTAAGAGTCACTCGGGAATGAGTCCCCCTAGCTCCTTAGTTAGGTTTCAAATGTATTTCCCTGAGTTGATTTACTGTTGATTAAACTGCGGAAGATCCGACAGTAGCTTGGAATCTCTTAAGCTGACCAAGCCCTCTCAATCTAACTACCCGGGAGACGACTAGTCTTCACCGGGATAGAAAGCTGAAGCAGTAAGAACAGAACTCCACTACTGGAATTAGATTCCAGTACAAAGCAGTAAACTGGCTAACTCTCGTATAGCCAATCTCCTACTACCGAATGATGAGACTCTAGCAACCTAATCAGATTCTATCTATCTCAGATTGCAGCAGGAATCAGGAAAAGTTGATCAGACTTCAATTGACTCAATAAACATGCATCATTCGATTAAAATCAAACAGTAATATCATCCCAAGTCATTACAATCAATCCCTAACACATAGAACTAGGGTTCTTCATCCCCAAGTGAGAGAGAGGTTCTACTCCATAGAGAGAGAGAGGAAAACAAGGTACAAAGCAGTCATACTCATTACAATGGAAAGAATATGCTCTGGGATGATGATTTCTAGTCCTATGACGATATCCAAGTTTGATTTGATGAAACCCAGCTCCAAGATAGCTTCTAGGATGTGTTCTTCGTACTTTCTCTCTCTAGGGCCCTGTTTTTGCTCAAAAAGTCCGATCTCTTCACTTGTGGCTCGAAATTGGCTGAAAAACCAAGATTTCCCGACTCAGACGGGCAGGCCACACGGCCGTGTGGCTCATCCAGTTGCCCGTGTGAGTCAAAACGCGGCGTATCAATTAGTTCGATCTTCAGGCTTCCCACATGGCCAGGGTCGCACGGCCATGTGGGATTTCCATCCTGCCCGTGTTTGCTCTCGGCGAAAATCACACGGCCACAAATGTGAGTTGCACGGCCGTGTGATGTCCAGGAATGCCCGTGCGGCTTACTTAACACCTCGCCACGCGTCCGATCTTCGTCCAATCGACTCCAAACTCGCTCCCAAGCCTCCATTCACGTACTAGGACCTGAAATATCACAAACAAGCACAACCTAGCGTGAAATCGGTCTAAAACACGAGAATCAACACCTCAAACGGTGTAAGAACAGGGGTAAAATCATGTGTAATTAACGGTCTATCAAACTCCCCCACACTTAACCGTTTGCTTGTCCCCAAGCAAACCAAGTCAGATACAAGGTAAGCTCACATATTTCAATCGACCAACATTGGGGACAAGTCATAAAGGCACAGAACACGTGAATCATACTGGTTTTCAAACATCAATACATGAACAACCTCAATAGCAACCTGGACAACCACCACAAAGGACATTCGAGTGCAGCAAAATCGAGTAAAGGAAGAGTCTCCCTTATGTTCACCAACCAACCTAGACTTGACTCAACCACTTACTCAAAACAGTCAACTCATGCATCCAACTCAAAACATCAAAATAGAGACCGAGCAATCTAGGTCCTCACCGGGGTACAAGAGTATATAGAATATGAAAATGAATCACTCACTCTCGATCAGTGGCGTCGGGACAATTTGATGCGAAAAATGCGCATGCTATTTCTCTCAATCCCTAACATCTCTTCACCATGATGGCAGCCTCTAAATGCTAGAGTTCACATATGGGGTGTCACCACTAACTAATCAGGAGGTCTTAGACACAGGTTCAAATGACTGGCTAGGGTCTTGGACATGGGGAAAAGGCCTTTTAGGTGGTGGAAGTATTCATAGCACAAGGTTCCACATTTCCAAACCCACACAATCACAGTCCAACAAACCGGTATTTCCTTTCTGCTATTCTGCATTACTCAATATCTCAAGAGCACAAAAGCGAAGGAGGTATCAATGTTAGCATTTCCAAGCCAGACTGCTAAGAAACACTACTTAATGGGCATTATTCAGATTTTTGGTAGTGGCTCTCTTTTGCTTCCAATTTTTCTTTGTTTTTCTTTCATTTTCTTTTCATTTCTTAAGAGAGCCACCACTCCTGCACATATTTCAAATACCTGCCCAACTTTTAAGCACTACCTCCAACACTCACATCAAATTTAGCAGAAACAATAGAGAATATGTAAAAACCACTCTGTGGAACCTTCTAAAAGATGCAAAAAGGGTGATTCTTCATTATAGACCAAAAGAAAGGATAACACACGGCTCAAAGGGGCTGACTAGGGGATATGACACATCAGGACATTCAAATTTGGTCGTGGGCTAATCCTATGCCCCCATCATCTTATCTAGTGACAACGTGAATGCTACACATCATGGAAGAAGGATCTATCGCACAAGAAAGAAACGAGCAGGCTCAAATCTCACATGGCTACCTATATGCTCTATCTCACATTCTGATATCCTGAACTAGATGCATAAACGACTGTCAAGAACAAGTGATTAAATCAAGTCACGGTTGGTAAGCAAACAGTTGAAAGAACTGAACCCCTACACAATTCTACTGCACGTCTCAGTCCTCATCATAGGTTGTCCTAGTCACGATCAAGCTGTCATGCATCAATCCGAAAACCATTCAATTCATCAATCAAAACATAGTGCCAATATGATCAAACAGCAGTACTTGGAGCCCTCAAATCGTAAGATTCGGACACTGGACTAGGCTCCAAGAACCCAAATATATATTCCAACCGATACAAAGCACCCCCCCACACTTAAGCACGACATTGCCCTCAATGGAGTAGAGGGAGAGATAAGGGAAACGATGTTACCGGATTGAAACACTGCTGGGGGACTGGAAGTGGACCAGTCAGCGAGAAACAAACGAGAAGATGTACCGTTCTGCACCAATCGAACACCAAGAACACACTAGCACACGTTGTGTTAGGGATAAGTGTTAGCCCAGACGGCTACAACAAAAACAATCGACAAAAGAAAACCAAAAACAAAAACAAACGACACTAAGTTCAAGCTCCTCACACATGGAGCAAACACACACTAGTCTAAAACGAAAAACAAAACACACTGAGATGGGTAACGAGTACAGCCTACTCGTCGCCAAGATTATCCAGGTCGATGTCGTCCATGAAGGCGTCATCACCATCAGCACCATCATCACCATCCGCTGGGGGAGGTGGAAGTGGAGAGTCCTCCCAGGGAGTCCGCCAGACGGGCTGCTCGCTTGGTAGCAGCTGGAGTAAATGCTGTTGGACCTCCCGCATGCACCGAGAGCGGCGCCTCTCTCGCTCGATGTGTGCAAGAGTCACTCCCTGCTGGGTCTGGATCTGGTCCAATCTCTCATCGTAGACAGCCATCCTCTGGTGGTACTCGGCCTGGTGAGTCGCGTACTGCTGCTGGAACTGCATCTGATGGTCGAGGATCTGCTGGTTCTGGAGACGCAGCTGCTCGAATTGGGAGGTGAAGTAATCCTGCCCAGGGAAAGCGGAGCTGCCACCTCCGTAATGGAAGTGAGTATGTGGTGGATCAACAACAGCGTCCACATCCTCGGGCTCCACATGATCAGCAGCCTCATCCTCCTGGCCCTCTGGCTGGTCCTCCTGCTGGTCCTCCGCGGGGATCTGAGGTTCCGGAAACCCCTCGATCCATAGAATGTCGCTGTCCTCTCGCAGCAGGTGCATGTGACTGATCGTCGACCTGCCAAAAACGATGGTGTCCCCCTGCTGTGTGCACCCCTGCAGGGAAAGGCCGAAGTAGGTGGCCAGGCGGGTGATGAGGGGGGTGCAGTGGAGACTCTTCAGTTCCGAAGCAGTCTTTTCGAAGGTCCTGGCCACCACCGAACCCAAGTGGAGGGGATGGTCGTGCTGGCGGATCGAATGGATGAGGTACATGACCCTCTTGGTGATGGCGCTGGCACTGTCTGAAGCTGGATTATAAGACTTCGCCAGCAGGTGGTGGAGAAGGCGGTTGTCGAGCTGCAGGGTAGTGGCCTTCGTCCTCCCGGCCGAGAAGGGACGTGTTTGGCCTGGCCGAGCCAGGCGGGTGTACAGCGTCCTGAAGTCCACCTCCGGCGGGTCGTTGACCTCGGTGACGTAGTCCTAACCGTCGTCTATGCCGAGGTCGAGAGCCTTGGCCAGCTCGTGGTAGCTCATTGACCCGGGGGCACCGCCTAGCCTGAAGTTGACGGCTGCACCGTCTCTCCAATCGTCCGTGGGTGTGTGCTTGAAGGTCGTGTAGAGCTTAAGCACGGGCTCGTAGTAAACTTTCTCGCAGATGGAGAGCAGACGGCGCCATGGGCGGTTGGTGACGGCGGCGGAGAGTTGCTCGTAGCAGTTCAATTTCTGAAACTCCCGTTTGGACCAGCAATGGTGCTGCCCAAACGAGCATGCCAGGACCTGCTTGAAGCGATTCTCGTCGGGGCCCCTCTTCAGATCCCGGATGAACGGGTGCTTGAGGTCAGGTTTCGACATTGTCCTGCAAAAGAACAACCCAAAGTGGAACCAAAAAAGCCAAAGAAAATGTCAATCACACCACCACACTGAATAACAGAAAACAGCCTAACCATGGTTTCATCCATAGTTCGGGGGTCAAAAACTCGCTAAATCAAGCATAATCTGAGTGGGGGTGCACATTCACGATAAAGTAGGAAACTTAAGGTTCACATCCATAGCAAATACACCCTCAAAGCACATCATTAAGGGCCCCAACCGGTGGCCACAACATGGCATGAAAAACAGGCATTTCATCGAACACCTTGTGTGGACTATTAAGGTAAGCATGAAATTGGCACAATTCTTGCACACAAGGGCTCAAACAATCAAGAGGGACATTGCCCAACACAATTCAAACAAACTCCATGCATTCCCCTCAATCAATTGCACAAAAATCACAAGATTCCATGAGGTTCTCTAAACATGCACCCTAACACCCAATTCTCCACAATTAACATAGTTAAGGGAAAAATCAAACCTGGAGACTCAAGTATAGGTGTAGGGGATGATGAGGGGAAGGCGATGGAAGCGACGAAAAGCCGAAAAAGTGCCCGGAAGTGCTCGTCGGAGCCTCGCCGGAAATCGCCTCCGGCGACAAAAACGTCGGCCAAATCTGCTCAAAATGGAGGGATAGGCCGCTTTTGGTGTAGGAAGGGTGGGTTTGTTGTTGGGTTGGTGGAAAAATGACAAAAATGGCCGAAAAAATCGAAAAGTGTGGTTTTGTCGCGGTATTCCGGCGAGGATTTTTCAAATTTCTGACCACTCGGCCGTGCTGGCCGAATATATAGGCCGTGGCTCGGCCACACGGGCAGGCACGCACGGCCGTGCGAGGTGCAAGGTTGCCCGTGTTGGCCGACACGGCCAGGCCGAGGAATTCCACACGGCCGTGCAAATTGCACTCTGCGCGCTCGACAGCACCTCCCAAATACAACTTTAGGAGGTGGTGAATGGCTCGGTTTGAGCATTGCTGATCTCCACCGCACCGTGCGGGAAAACTTGGGTGACCGTGAAGGGACCCGACCACCTCGAACGGAGCTTACCCGGGAAGAGTTTCAGGCGTGCATTGAAAAGCAGAACACGATCACCTACCTAAAACTTTTTCGGGACCCTCAACCGAGCGTCGTGGAGACGCTTGGTGCGCTCCTTGTAGAGCAGGGTGTTCTTGTAGGCGTGGTAACGCCACTCCTCCAACTCCAGCAGCTGCAACTTACGTTCTGTGCCTGCAACACTCAAATCAAGGTTTAGCAGCTTAATGGCCCAGAAGGCCTTGTGCTCTAGCTCTACCGGCAAATGGCACGCCTTCCCATAGACAAGCCTATAGGGAGAAGTGCCAATCGGATTTTTATAGGCAGTCCTATACGCCCAAAGAGCATCATCGAGCTTGGTGGACCAATCCTTGCGGGACTGATCCACCGTCTTTTCAATAATTCGTTTTAGCTCCCGGTTCGTCAGCTCGGCCTGCCCATTTGACTGGGGATGGTAGGCCACCGACACCTGATGCTTAACACCATAGCGAGAGAGGAGTTTAGTGAATTTCCCTTGAAAATGGGTTCCTCTATCACTAATGATGGCGCGGGGTGTCCCGAACCAGGAGAACAGCTGCTTCAGAATTGAGCAGACCCGTCTTGCATCATTGGTGGGCATGGCTTGAGCTTCTGCCCACCTCGAGACGTAGTCTACTGCAACCAATATGTACAGATTGCCAAAAGATGGAGGGAATGGGCCCATGAAATCGATACCCCAAACATCAAAAATTTCACAAATAACAGAGATATGTTGGGGCATCTCATCCCGGGAAGAAATGTTACCTGACCTTTGGCAGCGGTCGCACTGGCGTGCGAAGGAGTCTGCATCCTTGAAGAGCGAGGGCCAATAGAAGCCCGACTGTAGCACCTTCCGCGTCGTGCGGTTACCTCCATGGTGACCTCCAGTAGGTCCCTCGTGGCATTGAGACAGGATGTCTCCCATCTCGTGCTCCATGACACATCGCCGGATCACGCCGTCTGCTCCGATTCTGAAGAGGTAAGGATCCTCCCAGAAGTAATGCTTCAGATCGGAGA